TGGTGGTTTAAAGATTAATTTCAATAATGTATTTGCTTATCTATATTGGAAACAAAAACAACCCCCTGAAATTACTTTTAGTAAATTTTGATTTGCTTGTATTTAATAGATTTGATAGATGTAATCAATATATTTTGTTAAACAGTATTTTTAATATTATGTTAGATATGCTGCCATGTTAGAAATATGATGTTTTATATTTATTAAGGCAGTTTTACTATTTTTATATTTGTGAAAAATTTGTCACTTAGCTTTATCGTGTTATAAAAATAACTGGTTATAGTGAAGTTCTTAACCGTAAACTCAGTATCAAGCACGGGGCGACTAGCACGAGACGACTTGTGGTTTATGGTGAAGCTCTTGTGTATGAAACCTGTTGGCATATAAGACACATCTTCAGTGTGCAGGTAATCAACAAATCTCTACTCCAATACGATTAATTAATAATGGCTTAGTCCAACTATACACCTAGATCGATTGCCCGAAAAACGTGATCACCTATCAGTCATAATGACTGCTGAAGGAGCTGATTAATTTTCCTCCTTACTGATTAAATGCGCAGATTCATGTAATTTGGGACCAAAATATGCGTCTTATACGTATAAATCGACAAGTTAAAGATACAGAGGACACATTATAAATAAACCTTACCCAGTCGAACACAAATACTATAGCACGCCCGAAATGTATATTTGTTAGATTCGTGTAGTTAGAAAAACTAAATATTTTTCGATGTCAAAGTTTTTATACTGTCAATAAACGTCGCTTTGAACAAGAGTAAGTTAATACTTCAACTTAATTTTTTTTTCCCATTATATATGTGTTAGCTGGACTTTATCGCATGGAAATAAGCAACTCTGAGAATACTATTTTAATGTATTAGTGCTAGTTGATTTACGCAACATGAAATAAGCGTACGCAGCATAGACTTTATATATCAGTGTTCTGGACCTTTATCAATGAAAATTTCAATTTTAGTGCATCTTATTGATGTGCCTTTTCCAAGAGACAAAAATAAAAGGACGACCCCGGCAAATGACAGTTACAATAAACCAACATTTAGTCAGTCAAAAGTCATCAGGATCCTAAAACAAAAAATTGTATTTTTGATTACTAAACTCGCGCAATCCTGAATCATCAATAATTGTACTTGAATTTCTTCATTTCAAAATGATTGAAATACTTAGTAAAAATCATGTTCTCTTGTAATTTTTGAAATTAGGGATGACTTTAGGGGCTTTTCGGGACTACTTAGGGGACTTTTAGAAAATGCTTGTGTATATATCATATTATATTAAACAGTGCGTGTCAACTGCTGGTATATCTTCATATATTGATACATATCATCTACCCACTTGATTTTCTATAACCCTGAATCTCTCTCCTTAACTTGTTGATTCAGACAAGGTGTCGATTGGCTTGATGGTTTTCATGATGTGACCGGTAGACCAACAAAAAATTATATGCTCAGAATTAAGGACTGGATATCTGGTCTTATTATAAACTGAAGGATATATGGGTCAACTGACTAGACTCAGTATGGGATGTTAAACAAATAGATGCCTACTTAATTAACACTCTGTCCCAATCAAGGAGTTATTGATATATCTATTTAGGGTTTCCGAAAATGTACATTATCACATTATATTTATGTAATTGTTTAATTAATTATTTTAATTAATCCATTGTAAGATAAATAATTAATTGTATTATATTTAAAATATACACAATATTAATTGTATTAGACTTAGATTTTGAATTTATTTTCGAAGGATGTCCAGTAAAGGGAAGTAACTACTGGCAAGGCTGGATCGGGTAACGTCTTTATCATACCGAGTTAAAAATCATTGCCGTGCTCGAGGAGAATCACAAACAAAATTGTACATGTATTTATTAATTAAATAGAATTAACATTATAAGTTTTTTCGGTAACATTATTCTGAATATACAAATGTAGATGAAAATGTTCATTCATATGGTAAACATCCCATTGTTGACACAAATTTAGTTCCGTGTGGGATTTGTGTTACCATTTTCTTTAAGTGTCTGCCCATAGCAGACTTCTTTTTCTGTTATAACAATCGAACCAGAAGCCAATCAAGACTTTTATAAAGGAGTATGGCAATTATTTTTGACAACAAAATGTACATGTATTAGTAGGTCTGTGTTCCTTTAATTTAATGTTACTACGGTAAGACCTCACTATAACGCGATTCACGGTTGTGGGTGTACCTTTGGCGGGTTAGAATACCCCCATTCTGGGTTATACTGACACCTTAGAGTAAACATTAGCCTTGTTTATCAGAGCTGTGTAATGAAACCCCGGAGTAACACAGGCGTATTCGAGACACACCAGCGTTATAGTGAAGTCCTAGGTGGTTCGTTCTAATGTTGATTCTGCTTTTAAAAACCATTGTAAATAAACTGTAAATATTAATTTTTATATTTTACAAATGGAACACGTGTACATACAATCTATAACTTTACCAACTTAATCAACAATATACAGGCACCAGACTTGTTTCCATGGAGACTACTGATTATTTTAGATCTACAGACCAACAACAACTGCTGTTGAATAGTAATTGTTTTATTCTAAATCAGTGATGACTGAGTATTTAAATGATCATTCAAACATTCAGGTATTTGTTACCAATGCGTTTCTGCTTTATTGATGGAAATACGGACATTTGATATTGGCACATAATTGAATTAAGGTAATTTTTTTTATTGAGAGAGGCGATACAACAAGTAAGTCATAACTGACAAACATAATTAATTTTTTTGAATTTTGGGCCCAAGTATAAGAATTTTTTTTATAGAAAATTGCCCCGTAAACCTGTCTGTTCTTGTATTTAAGTTGATGACAACAGTTTGTAGATAAGATGTCTTGTCATGCTGAAACTTTCAACCATCAGAAATAAACTTTTATTGACTTATACAATCATGCTGTTTATTGTCTAGTGCCACCCTCTAGTCACTTATTGACGACATTGTTGTAACGTGATGATGTTTCATGAAGTGAAATTCTGTACTGAACTTGTTTGCTGCGCTAAACCCCATGACACAAAGTATTAGGGGCTGATGATGTAAATATTGGGTTTTTGTAGCCCCAGAGGACCATGTTGCCCAGACGAATTTAACAGACACGATGCCCCGCCCCCAAAGTCTGATCAATTTATGGATTTGACCTGGAATTAAGTTATTGTAATGTATCTTTTATAATGATCAACGTTACATATGAGAATGAGCCAGGTGTATTGCGGGGACAAAGGGGCGGGGGTATAAATTGCCCGTGTGAAGGTGGGTGGTAATGCGCTTTCCTGCTATTCAGACCCGCGATCAACTGGAAAATGACGCAATGTAGCCCTGTTCATGTGGTTTTGGAATCGAAATCCCACTCTATGTCGACCGAATCCCAGATTGCGTGTATGCAATCAATCAGACAGCCAAATTGAAAAGAAGTATCCAGAAAACTGTTTAATTTAACCAAAACTTATATGTAATCAAAATTGCATATTCCATGTGAAAATAGTAATAACAAATTCAATCATGCACTGGAGTTATCGCCGTCAATCAAGCATGCACCAATATTTCAAAAGAATAGAGGTTATTGCGTCTACCACACATTAATGTATATACACGTGTAATCCTGCCCATTATTAATTTATTTGGATATATAACCGGTACGATCTGTTAGTCAATTCATAGTAAAATGCCGCTCCCCTCCCCATTATGACGTTAGACTGACTCCGCTGGTGTAATACACGAAGTGAAGTAGTTTATAATCGTGTATGAGTAAAGACAGCTGTTAAATATCAAGATAAATACCTACATACTGTCAGTATATAGAAGGCATGTTGTTAATTATATTTCTTTAATTCTCTACATTGGTACATCTGTTTGTATTGTTCACCATCTTCTCTATCTCTTTCTGTTCAATATTCCCATACTCCATGCGTTAACGTTGTATTATCTGCTTTGTGAAGATGATTTTGAAATGTTGCTTTGTGGAGATGATGGAGCAGAACAGTAGGACGTTAAACCCCATTTCATTTTATTCATGTAAGTGTGTCTTGTGTTTTCTTAAGGTTTCGTTTTTTATTCCACTGAATTGCATCCTCGGGAATGTACCAATACATATTATGTTTGATTCGAAACCAACTAATTGTGCCTGAACTGTCCCTCTCAAAGACCCCTATCCCCCACTTCACCGCAGTACCAGGGCTACCTCAACAACATCATATACAATTAAGCCCCTGGGTAAAACATGGTAAATAAAATCAGATACATTCCAATAATCACCTTTAAGACAATAGCATGGCGACAAGGCCTGGCATTTATTTATTGACAGCAAGTCATAACATTAGCGTTGGGCCCTTATCCTCGTAGAGGGGGTTGGATGGCCGAATGGTTACCACGTGCGCGCTGTATCATAAGTTCTGTCATTCAGTCAACTGGCGTGGTTTCGATTTCCCAGTAGTAGGCCTACGTGACAAGCATTAGGGTCGCCTGTCCAACCTCGTGGGTTTTCTCCGGGTCCTTCGGTTTCCTCCCACTTCTAAAGACTCCTACGCGCAAGCGAATTATTGAAATAAAATTGAACCATGACGTGTTAGTCCCGAAATGACCTAGTTTGTGCCCAGGGTTCGTATCAGATTGATGTGTTTTTGGGGAAGGGTATGACCACAGAGCAGTTGTTAATAATTGTTCAGAACTGTAATACTTGACATTCATGTTTTTGTTGTTTATATTTTGTAATGTCGTATGTAGTTGGTGTTGTCGCGGTCCTCCAGCATGTACTACTAAGTATTTATTGCCAATCTTGTTATAAAGTTGATTTTCTACTAAAGTGAGGCTTTAGCTATAAGTAATAATCTCTGCTGGAAACTGCCTATCTCAACTCTGAAGGAAGAGAATACAAGCGCCTACCACTTTAAAATCAGACGCGACAGAAATTTGTGCAACCAGCATAAAATTACTCGCTCTCTGTCTGTCTAGTCAAGCGTTTTCCACGAGTTAGCACTATTTTCAGGAACCGTGTAACCGCTGTGTAAATTCAACTATCGTTTATTAAAAGAAAACACCGTAGCGTTTTCAAGACAGTTTCTTCAACCCTGCTGCAGTTTCGTGATTCTTAGCCATCGTAAAAACGAACAGTAGAATAACTATCTTTTACTAATTAAAAACACGCGGTTGTATCTTTAAAACTCCAGGAACTAGTTTGTATCAAATCTAGCAATACTGAGTGTTAATTAGTTGTTTCCTGTAGCTCCGACGTAGTAGCAAGGATCTTAAAGCGGAACTTGTTATAAACTTTAGTATTTGTACAATATTTCAAACAATGCATATATATTTATCTGTATAGAAGTTGAGACGGGATCTAAAATGGATGTTTTTATAATTTTATTAGGACTAGCCATATTAGCGGTAAGTAGCATTATATCTGTAAAGCTCAGTTTACACGGGGAAAGTATAATCTTTTACAAAAACAATTGTCTTTTCCAAATTTGTCTTCAGTCACGTTTCAGTCACGCACGTTGATGTATATTTTGAAAAAGAAATGAAATGGAGTTTAACGCCTCACTTTTCCACACCAACCGTGCTAATGAAATTCCTATTTCGAATTCATAACTGACAAGGGTTCCTTTATGTGCAAGCTAATGTGTACACAGGACCCCACGGGTTTGTCATACCATCCGAACGACTAGACACTTGCCATGCTCCCCCATCTTGCACCACTAACAAGAAACTTTCTCAGCCGACAACGGGAGCGAACCGAGGGTATGCGACCTGAAGTTTGCTATGGGTGATGTTTGCTCGGACCACGTCACTACGATCTACCCTTGTTTCGATTTCTAACTGTCATCGGGTCTTTAACGTGCCGGAAGCAGCGATCTCAGCTTTGGACGATTTTTTTTTATTTTTGCTTGTGAATTATTATGTGCATGCAAGAGCATCAATAATTATATAAGATATATATTCCGGGCTTTGCGTATTCTACTAAACACTATACAACCGGTTCTCCATTACATCTTTATAGTTTATAGTTGTCCAACTTTTGTCTGGCATATGCAACTCTGTAGTTAGCCTACTGATCTAGTTCCTTTTGACCGTAAAATAAGCACGTTAAACCCCATTTCAGTTCACTTCATTTCTTACTACAAGAAAGCATAAAACTACCATATGTTAATCTCAAAATGACATTCCTGATGTTGACGAGACATTGAACCCTGTCCTATTTCACTTCATGTAGGGTTCAAGGAACAGTTATATCAGATTTATGTTTTGTTTATTTAGCGATGGTTGTGTTATTTATTTATTGAAGTTTGTTTGACGATAAAAACAGATATTTACACTGATATACAGGTCATCAAGCCTCTTTTTACACTACAAAAATCACAAAACATCTCAAAACAAAACAATATACAAACAATATATTTACACACAATAACACGATGGTTTGACACTAATTATAAGTGCAGGGGGACCGGAGAGAGAGAGAGAGAGAGAGAGAGAGCACGCATTAGGTCATTTGGCACAAACAGATGGTAAAAATCATAGGTGGAAACCGGACAAGCTAAAGGATACAAGCATCGGATCAAAACACTTCCATTGATGATCTGGGGAGTTGGATGGCCGAATGGTTAGCACGTACGTGCTGTATCATACGGCCTGTCATTGAGTCAACTGGCGTGGTTTCGAATCCCCGGTTGTACGTGTCAAGGAGTAGGGTCGCCTGTCCAATCTCGTGGGTTTTCTCCGGGTCCTCCGGTTTCCTCCCACTGCTAAAGATCCCTACGCGCAAGCGAATTATTGAAATAAAATTAAACCATATGTTAGTCCCGAAATGACCAAGTTTGTGTCAAGTGGACGTTAAACCCCATTTCTCTCTCTCTCCCTCTCTCTCTCTCTCTCTATCTATCTATCTATATATCTCTCGTAATTCCTAGATACAGCATGAGGTTATACCGTTCTGTTCCTTTATCTCACTAATACTTGATTAAATGTTTATTTGATTATACGTAGTTACTGACAGGTACTTGTCTACACATCTTCAATTCGACATTTGACCTTTTATACACAAGATATTTATATAGGTAGACAGACAGGTGTTTCCGATAGTCTAAGAAACCAAAAAATACTATATGCACCCAGCTTGTTATATGCACTATATGCACCTTTATTACACAAACATGCATTTATATACCTAGAATAAAATTACTGTTTATTACTGAGCGGCGTAAAGACTTGGCGTATCTAATATGATATGATCTAGATAAAAAAAAAGTCATCACCTTTTTGCTGTAAAGCATATAGCTCCGAATAACAGTTTAAAATGATATGTTTTTATTTCACTTTTAACCCATGGTTTTCATTTATTTCAGGACCATCGAAAAATCTTAGCAGAGGGCGAAACGGGTAAGCTCTAAGTTCTTTCTAACCTTACTTCCTCTTGGGAAATAGGTCGCCAATTATAACTTTCATTCATTCGAAACCTTAATTTCATAATGAAGGTTTTACACATTCTTCCAATATTTTATTTTCAGACACTTAGTTTGTTTTTCTTGCAATGTGATAAATAATAAATGTGTTGATTTAGAAAGTATACACGACAAAGACAACTATATATTGATCACGTAAGAAGTTTCACAATCAGATTAAAACACAGATCATATTTCATTTCGTCTTTTATATAGTTCAAAATTTCGATTTACTTACGAAATAAAGATCTGTATTTTAATCAGAATGTAAGTTTCAGGACAATATTATGTTGAATTTCTGATATAGCGAAATACGAATGTCAGGGCGGAAGTAACAGTGACTAAAAGCAAACAAAGCATAAAAAAACGAGAACTATCCAAAACAAAATAAACGCAACAAACTGTTTCTTGCACAGTATATATGCAATGATATTTGTTCCTATTTCACGCAATGGGAAATAAAATGATAGTTTTAGTTTACCATGTTTAAATAACCTTGGATAGCTGTTGGCCGCGAAAGAAGTACATTGAAATTTCCAGTCAGGTTTGCCAGTGAGGAAGGATGGAGGATTGGACAAGGAGACCATTCTAATCGCCCGAATATCGTGCACGTAAAGAGTCCTTAACGGGCATTATTTCCCTTGTAGCACATTGCTGGTGTAGAAAAGCAGGACGGTAAACTCCATTTAACTTCATTTCATTTATTTATTCAGTCCGTTGTATTGTAGTTTCAATTAAAGCGAGATGTGATCTATTGGTCTTAGTCAGAATGCCAAATTAAACAATGGATGATAAGTACAGTTATAACTCTGTTCATGTGCCTCCAAGGACTTACCATTGATAAATTTCAACACACGACCGGAAGAGGAATTTGTTGTTAATCTAGACCTCCAGCCAACCTACAAAAAATCCCATAAAACAAGACAATTAATCATACAAAACATGCTTTCATTTATAGAAATATGCTGGGATTAAAATATACAATTACAACCACATGTGTTAAAGCGCCAACCTTTGTACAAATCATTCGTAACTCCATGTCTCAACAATCCTCACAAATGTATTAAAATAGTGAAATATTTATGGAAGCCAGATGAAATTATCCTCCAAATAATTCACCAGTGTTTTATGACTTGATTTGACTATACACATAAATCACAAATATTCAAAAAAGATTGTGTTAAAACCTGGATAAAAGGCAGCGAACCCCCGACTGAAGTACATATTATTTAAGACTGGATTTTTTATAATTAGAGGGGTCTTTTGAATATTATATTATCAAATTAATAAATGTTATTTTTTGTTGAACTTCAAAACACCCCTTTAAATCGAGAACGAGACTTTACTCCTCTTTAGAATGGTTACCACATGAGTTAAATGCCGTATCTGTGTTCACCTTGCACATATTAACTTTAATCAATTACTTTAAATAAAACAGATTTCCATTCAAATCTGACATTTAGGCATGTTAAATTCTCGGTTTCCGATCTATTTGACATTTTAAATCTGACTATATGTTGTTGGTGCTAGACAAATGTCTTTAACCTGTAGCCATAAAAACAAAATTTATTTCCTGGCTCAGCATAATATTAGTTATCCAACTAAATAATCTACAAAAAAAGGGAAAACAGTTTAGCAAATACAAAACCCATGTCACTTTCCACCAGGGCCGTATGTAGGATTTTAAAAGTGGAGGTGCAACAGAGTGGTGGGGCGCCATAGCCTCCACGTATGTTTCGATCAGGGCAAACGAACCCGTTGGCGTGTGGGCGCCCTTAAAACCGATCGACTGAGTGCCTTAGGAGCATCACTGTGTGATCATAATCAAGTGTATTATTTTATAATTGAAAGATTGTCAAAAAATTTTTGTTTTTGTTTTTTTTGGATGTGGTGGGGGGCGCAATTTCTCGGGGCGCCTTATTTTTCTGGGGGTGCAATGTACCCCCTGCACCCCCGCTAAATACGGCCCTGCTTTCCACTACTCCGAGGTGATCAGCGTTGTTTGATCGTTCGTATGGTATGTAAAGCCGAGGCCCGTCCCAGTAGATTAGTGTTTGGTCAAAATTCTTATCCCTAGCATTATAAACGCTAAACTTCACCCCACTTCCAAAACAGAACTATTAACCAAATCCCACATAAAATCATTGGGAAATTAACTTAGATTATAGTTGTTGGCTTACATTTCACGTAAATCGGGTGTTCCACATGCTATAGATCTTGGTCTATATTATCCCTGGATTATATTATTTAAACACAAGGAAATGGAGTTTAAAATCCTACTCCGACTGGGCTAATGAAGGCGGGCATAAACCATATAGTGTGCTACGAGGGAAAATTTGCCTGGACAGCGGCACTACAGCCCACTCTTATATCGAATTCCGAATGTCAATGGATATTTTACGTGCACGCCAATGTGTACACGAGAACTCGATTTTCCGAACTAGACAGCTGTCTCTGTCAAGCACTCCGTACCACTGATAAGGGGAAATCACACCGGAAAAGCCCGAAGAATTTTCTCGGCCAACACCGGGAGAAATCCCGCGTCCTCCAGACTAGTGAGCCAGCGTCTTACTCACTTAGCCACTATGATTCCCTATTTAAACACAAATACAGTGTAGTTATTTTCACAGGAAAAAGAGTAAAAGAACATTCAATATAATACAGGAGGTTTTATTATGGTTCGTATTGCATTAAAAAAAACACCAACATTAAGACATTAGAAGTTACTAGTTCACTGAACCCTTTATGGATAGCATTAAATGAAACTTGATCTATTATAATCATATTTTCGAGATTTTAAAGACTTCACGCAGTGAATATTTCAGATATTCTCTATATCGTTGTGCATTAAGCATTCTTTATGTTTTTTGTTCAGTTAACTCTTGAAATGAATATAAAACATAACTTGATGTAATTGTAATTATAGGAAAGATGTTGAAATGTATTCATATTCTCTTTGATACATTTAAGCAGCCGCCACAGTTGGGAAAATATCTAATTTTGAAAATAGTTCAAAAATAGATAATGAAAAAAGAATAAAATTAAAATTTTAAACAAAGAAGTGCTAAACCAGTACAGGTTTGACGACATAGTCTCGATTGCTTAGTATCATTGCTACGATAATAAACAAAGTCTCAATTATCAATTTTAAATTAAATTATCAAATGCGATTGTGTTTTAATCCGCAAAAATCACGGCCATCCGATGGCTAGAGAGTTGATTATGTGTTTAAATGTCTAATTAATGATTTTTGGAACATTTGAAGCCGAAGGAAAGACTCGTAATAGGCAAATTTGGCTCTTATATACTACATATTTAAACCAAGTCGTACTTAACCAAAACATCCATGGTAGATAATAGCCCAGCTTTGGTTCAAAAAGATTAAAATAGGTGAAGCTGGTTTATTTATATCTTCTGCAGACGATGGCGAAATGTTTAATTGTATAAATACTGAGCATAAATGAGGCATTTTTGGACTGATATTCTTATTTTAGAGATTCAGTTTTTCACAATATTGCAGTCTGTAAGGTATTAACAATCCTCTGAGCTATAATTAATAAAAAAAATTTATTAACACAATTTATTAACAAGCAAGCCCGGGCGTACCCATCTCTGTGGTTTGCACTTTTCTTCTTACAGATAGTAAACTTTGAAAACGAACTTAATAGTTTATGATATTAGGTTAACGAGGGAAGCAGAAACGATGTATAGATACCCATACCATATGTATCACTCGTCTCTACGTATGGACGCCTATCATTATTAACTCTGCCCTAAACCGACAAATATTTGATTGATATAATGCAAAGTATGGAAATACCAACTGTTACTCATTATTATATATCTGCCTCAATCCCCGCACCCTATTAATTTCAAGATTTAATCCCGTCCCGAGCTCTACAATCCGATATACGCTTCTGCATGTTATTCAGTGTTGCCTTTTAATTATAATCCGTTTTTTTTGTCTGGTTCTCACACTGTTAGATACCCCGCGGGCAACTGAAATAGTTCAATAACTAATATATCTTATTTGTATAACTTGTATTTCTTTATTGAAAAACAAAGTTATGTTTTTTAAAACATGATATTAGTCAATTTCAATCTCCAAGTCTAGATTCCATTACCTTGTGAATATAGAAAATCTGTATTACGGTATAACTAACTATTTTAGTTACCTGTACAGCTGTTAAACCGTGTACATGTATATGACGTGGATTCGCGATGTATATTATCCGATTGACAACTATGTCTGTTTAAGTAGATTACACTTTAATGCATATCACGTAAAGTATCCTTATGTATTTTCAATAAGTTTGGATAAAATAAAAAAGTATGAAGAGGATTAAACAGCTTTTAGTCGTCCATGTGGGGCAAAAGAAACCACCTTTCCCCGTATGCCAGTTGGTATGCAGGTAATAAACGACTGATACATGTAATTCGAAATAAGAGTAGGTCGTAGCGCCGCTGCCTGGGCAAAATTTCCCTTATAGCATACTGCATAAAGAAACACCCCCAGTGACCACGTGGTCTAAGAGGCACATTACAAGTGTGTAATAAGTGAGAAAGGGGTGGGGTGGCGTCTCTATTCTCGCGAGGTTTCTCTGCGACTTATGGTTCTCTCCAACTATTAGATATTTGATAAATTGTCTTAGATTTCCGAATTCGTCTGAAGTCGAATATAAAAAGTCAGCAGTGATCCAGATTAATGTCTCCCGCCTGAATCCACAAATAAATATAAACACTCTTACTTGCACCATAGTAAAAAGCATCTATAATTCAAAATACAGATCAGGAGTATAAAATGCTTACTAAAATGCTTTTTCAGTATGGCGTGTCACAAGGATCCACACGTGGGTTGTAGTTAATTAAAAATTGTGCTATTGATATTTGTAATATTTACATGTTGTGATTTTTTTTCTTTTCAGATTTTATGTTCCGCCCATCCTGTAATCTAACAAGATGGGAGATATCATTTCCGCTTTTAACAGACACCAGAGGTGCTACTTTACCTAAATCTAGATTACCAGAGGAGGCAACATCAGATTATATACCAAAACATCTTCACGTTAGTTTAAAATGGCGGCGTCAAGTTTTAAATATAGCCTTGTTACAGACTCATTTAGTTGGTGGTTCGTCCTCAGCTGAATGGGGTGAAGGCAATGTGACTTTTTCTCAACGTTTAGAAGATAAATGTTTTTATCATGGTTATGTCAAGAACAAGTCTCCTTCCCATACAGCTCTCGGTATATGTGGAGGATTGGTAAGTTGTATTTTTTCTATTTCATATTTAATCGGCACCAGTTTTTGAGGTTGGCGTTTACATCAACAAATAAACACAACATCCGACCGTAAGCGATGTCTCCCTGGAAATAAAATATTGTCAGGTTTCTTGTATCTGTCTACATAAATGCGGCTATATTTCAATGTAGTTGACCAAACTTGCCGCACCCCAAAGAGTGCCTTGTCACACAAATCGAATTGGTTAAGTCTATTTACTATCCGTGCACACTCACCACCTATACCTCCAATCGCACCAATGGCTTCACGGTCTCTATATAGCCTTTGTTTTAAAATAAAAATGTTTCAAATCATATATCAGCATGATGCAGCATTTGGTTACATGGAGTACTAACAAAGTAGTCACAAAAATCTGTTTTCTAAAATGTATGCAGCAACATTTAGTGCAAAAGGACTATGTGGGAATTATACAGAAGAAAACTCCACAAGTCTAATGAAAACGTCACCTGGAGAATAAAGCATGGATTTTGTTTTTCTTTAGTTGCATTTTGTCATATTCCGAAACACATCTTATTCAAGCTGCCCAGGAAACCTGTCCGTGCCAAAACCAAATGAGTACTTATTATAAAAGAAACCGAGAAAGCTTGGTCCCATTAAAGATTTAATTGCAAAAAAATAAAGGTTTCTTTCTGAGCACCGAGTAACCTCGACCTCGAAAGATTTTTAAAAAAAGACAACAATAAGTCCGTCTGGACCTCTTCATCATGAGTGATTGTATTTTCTTAGCCTGCTGACTTTGTTCAAGTTGTTCAGTATAGAAGGGTGAAACTTGTCGTTAAGTCTAGTAGTGTTTTTACCGACCAAATACAAATGCAAAGTTACGTTGACATGAAACACGTGTATGTACTAAAGGTACGTCGCAATCTACCTGATAAAGAAATACAATGCACCTTCTCTATATAACGCAACTGTAGCCCACCTTATATTGCATTACGAAGTACGTTAGAACCACCTGACAGTTGCTTAAACTACCACCGCCCCCCACCCCCCGCGCATGCAGCATGTCGGAAATTAGCGGGATTCATCAACGTAAAGTTAGACTAATTTTGTAGTGTTTGTGAAACGTCTGGGCGAATGTAGTCGAGCATACACCATGCTGTGTGCTGTGAGAGAAATGTTATTGCGTTTCCGCCTACTCTTCATCGAATTCAAAAATTCAGGGGTACTTCAACACAAACTTTTACGCCTTTTGTCTAACCGGGTCCTCCATCGCGCACGACTGAAAAGAGTGAGACTTACATTCCGGTCAGTCTAACTCAGTGGGTTGAATATCAGAAACCGAATTAACCCATTAGATAGTACAGACGTGGGGTGGTGCACATATGTTAATAATGTTATTAATCAGGGATGGTTTCATCAATGAGGATCCCCTGTCTAACCACCTGCTACAAGGAACGATGTGATCCCATCAATGTGCGTAGCAGTCTGTAGAATCCCTTTTTTTTGCAAAAAAAAGAACGAGTTCTGCTCTGATCATAAAATATATATGTAATATACTATATTTTAAAGATACATTCCCGCGTACAAACTGGGTGATTTGATGATATATTTGAACTAAAAACATATTCAAACTAATTAATTTATTATAATGTTGCTTCAAATCCTTCTAAAAAAAACATTGTAATTGCCAGGGAAGACCCCTGTTATAAAAAATCGACCAAAAGAGGTTATGTTTGTGTCACGTGACTTACCTCTCTCGGTACCTAACAACGGGTACAAAGTCGGAGGAGAATTCATTGCATACACAAGACGACATTGTCATTAATCGCTGACTATTACAAATATCGAATCCTAATTAATTTCTCGGATTATCCACTGCCTGCGTCTTTTTCCGTGATTTTTATCTCAGAAAATGTTGTACGTCGAACTCTTCATAAAGTTTATCAACATGTACATCAAGCGCCCAATCTCCGCGTGCAACCTTTGACGTCAAGCGAGCAGATATTCCTAATCGTCGGGTTGTCGATTAGGGAAACCCTTACATTGTTGTCCTGTATACGTTCCATGGGTGTTTTTCAGGGAATCCAGTAATTTTTTGAGTAAGATTGGATATTTTTACTTTCCATATATAAAAATTGCCATACTTTTATAGGAAATAACCACCCGATAAATACTTTTCTGGGAACGTATCTTTAATATGGGCGTTAAACCGTATTTATTTCATTAAAATATTAAAAAATAATATTAACAAGCACCGGCCTAGTACAAGACACAAATAATGCATCTGTAAAAGCTTCTCAGATTTAGACAAAGACGAACATATGTACTGTAAAGACATGCATTTAGAATGTTTACACTATATTATGTGTTCTGCATTATGAGAACTGGGTTAATTGGCTGTTAAAATATGACAACAATTCGATTAATAAAACAGATAAACATTATAAAAAACCTTTCCTCTTAAAAGTTATGTGATTGAAAATAGAGTTAACATATGATTATATTATGCACTAAAAAGAGTGCAGTTCAAAGTTTTATTCAGCGTAATGCTCGGATAATGTCGAAACTAACACATTCATTTTTTTATTTGAGCATACTGCTCGTAATGAATCGTGATGAATGTAGTAATACGTTACAATCGTATCTAATCTTTCCACAATGTTTCTATGTCAAAGTCTTGGAGACTTATACATGTTTCCATAGTAACGCGGGTCATAAGTCCATCCTCGTAATCTTTGTCGGGTTCTCTTATGGGAACTAGTAAAATAAACATACCACAGCATACATTCATCTTGACTCCCCCCCCCCCTTCCCATCTCCCCACGACGCCCCCCCCCCCCGGATCTTCATGCAACATCAAGTGTACCTTATATCCATACGTCCATATGTGTGAAGAAAACATTAGCAACTAAACGAATACCATTAAATATATTTAGTAAACGGTCTTTATTACACTTGTCTTTACCACACACCATTCTTGTAGAAATATTGGGTAGAACCAAGGCGACTGTGTAAGTTCCTCGGAATTATCTAGCGTGAATTTCTAGCAAGGAACGATGTCTAATCGTTCGGACGAAAAACCAAAGTTTCGTGTACACGTAAAAGATCGACCGTTGAAATCTGACACCCCTGTCCGTTAAAAATGTCTCCCTTAGCAAACTACCTGGCGTATGTTCGTCTTTATTAACCCGGTTGGTACAGAAAAGTAGGACGTTAAACTTCCATTTTATTTCGAGAAATAGCAATTTAAAACCCATTTCATATTAGAAAAAGTGAGCCAAGGAAAGAGAAGTTCCAGATGCTAAAAAACAGTTGTAGACGAAATGATTAAAACATTTGGACATTAGAAATAAAGATAAAAAATAACTGTGATGGAAACTAGGAATACTCATAAACATACATTTTGATTAGTCTCGGGGTGAAAATAAATCCGTTGGTGAACAAAAAACACGTGTTAAAAATATTCCACTTAATACTTCTCAACATGGGGTAGAACAAGTTTCTATGTTTTAGCCGTTTGCTTTGACGTCTTAGGGTTAATGACTATCGTTTTATTACTTTTAGTCTTGCTCTTGTAAATGTCTTGGAGTGTAATTGCACCAATGAACCTCGGCAGAAAAACAGATCATATTATTTGTATGTTGCAAAAATATTTTTTGGGAGGAATAAGATAACCAAGGTTAATACAGTGTCCTATGGGTAGGCACTCCGTCCTGGATGAACTTTCTAGGCCAATGCAGGGATCGAACACCCGACCTCCAGGCTAGCGAGCCAGTGTCTTACCCACTTAGCCACCGCGACCCTCTAATCCGTGTACAATCCGGAAGTTAAATATGTTTAAACTCAATGTCGGGGTGGGCGTTGAAATGAACAATTGTATGTTATCAGTGTGAAGTACACAGATAACATTATTAGGGTGCCCCACCATAAATAAATATCCCCAAATAGCTCGACAATTCCACCACAGTATTTATATATACATGTATACCAATCCTTAAATCTGTTTGGCACATTTATAGTCACTAAATAAACGGCCATGTTGTATTTAATAAGCTATGACCAATTAAACATCGATAAATAATAGACTGAAAAATGGTTCCGAGTGTCATCCATAACATCCAGGCACTTTTGAAATTAGTCTCGCTTAACCAGTCTACCGACCATTCTCCATCTGATTGACAGGCCGGGATAATCAAGACTACTTTTTTTTACGAAACATGACAAAAAGCTGGAACAAGAACTTGAATTTAGAAACAAGCACGGTAGGCAACTCAACAATTTTTTTAAGAACCTTATAAAAGTTAAATGAAACTACTGCTAGTATCATGTTCCTGCCTAACCCGAGTGTTTCCAAGATATTATTTGTACTAAACCAAAAGATGTCGCTCCTAACGGTATAGTTAATGATAAAGCAATGTAAAACATAAAACGAATGTAATTTCTAAAGCTGCTGTAATAACCAAAAAAAGCTAAATATTACTGCTATTCATTATCGTCAACAATATATGTTTTACGGCTATAATAGTTGATATGTGTGTTGAGAATTTCACGTGCGATGGCTATTTATAGACTCAAAGAGAGTGCGTGACTAGCCAGAAATCACTTTGAAACAAGCCACTGAAACGTGCACATTCACCGTGTCGAGTACCACTTTTAGTAGGGAAAATTTTCGGCACACGGGGCACCCTAACAGTAGGCCTATCAACCGGGAGACGTTAAAATTGACAATTGTATATTATCAGTGTGAATATACACAGATAATAGTATCAGATTACAAATAGTTGTATTTCTGAGACGTTAAATAAGTGGTCATGACAAGTAGCTTCCCAGACAAATATATTTCCCACGTATTTTATTAATAATGCTTCGCGACATATGAAAATAAAAAAAGCAATACATGTTACGAAAAGAAAAGAATGGAGTTTAACATCCTACTTTTCTGAACCAACTGGGATAATAAAAATGAAATGAAATGGGGTTTAATGCCCTGCTGTTCTGCTCCTACTGGGCTAATGAAGACCGGCACACAGTGTTCTATGAGGGGAGTTTTGCGCGGGCAGCGGCACTATGACACTACTCTTATATCGAATTCCAATGTATATACATATACGGGACCTCATTTTTCCGTGCCATCCGAACAACTAGGCAGCTGTTTTTGTCAGGTCCTCCGTTCTGTACTACTAACAAGGGGGAAACCACGTCGGAAAATCCCGATGAACTTTCTCAGTCACGCGACCTCCAGGCTAGTGAGCCAGCGTCTTACCCACTTAGCCACTGTGGCTTACCCCCGGACAATGAAGACGAGAAGACTCCATGCAGTTTGCTATAAGGGTTAATTTTGCCCGGTTTGCGGCAAAATTCCCTCGAAAAATGACAAAGGTTACAAAATTCAGAAGAACTTTCTAGGTGGTCAATACCGCGATAGAGCTACATAAACTTAGAATATGTGTCAAGATAAATTACCACAGTACCTGACATATTAGCGATTGAGCACATTAAAAAGCATAATTTATACAGACGTTTCGACAAGTATTCTCTTGTCGTTTTCAAGTAAAAGTGATCAAATAGTTAGCATGAAATGGGCGACAAAAGGGTAATTGCCTGGATGTTTTCGTCTGCAGAGTACCTTCGGCTTCTGAAACCCAAGCTTAAAGTAGCTAAGTCTCTAACTCAATATCATCCAAAACCTTCGACAATGAAAACACGAATTATTTGTCAATTTTAATCAACATTGGTGTTGTGATCTTACCGGAAAAAGATGGGCTTCTGATATCCAATATTTAAGACAAAATAAACATTTTACGATTGGTACACGAATCGTGTACCATAATGCGTTTCAGCGCAAATTGTAACAAGCGACTCGAAGAACGAGGTTAGACATATTCCACACGTCATGTCAAACGATGATCTCATATTCTTATCTGGAGAACATGCGCAATAAATACTATCGGTGTAGACTGGAATAACCAGAGGCTAGAGATTGCCATTGGATTGTGACTTCTGGCGTATTTCGCCGAACATAACTGTTTTGAAATTAGAGTAAAAACGGAAACGATTGAATGTAAATCAGTTTATTTACATTCATATTACATTATTATATACGTTGCGACCCATTTGTGTCAATTTGTAGGTCCCAAATATTAGCGATTTAGCTCCTTTAAACCATTACTTTAATTATATACATGTCGTAATGCGTGTAGTGTATGAGGTGGTGTATGAAAATTTATGACAGAAGCCCCGATACATCTTCTCGTCCGTTGGGAACGTCGCACAATGAAGATATTAGTTTCGTTGTGAACAAACTCGTTTATTGGTTCGACAGACAGGATATTATTAAAGTGGATTATTCCTGGATCCCAACCCAAATGCCAAACAAAGAACACGATAAATTGTATATTTGTATTTATTTCAGGCAGGTTTCATTCAAACTCCAGACGAAATGTTATTTATTGAACCATCGGGAGTGACCAATCAGAATACTGGATTACAAGCTCATGTGATATATACGTGTACGCGTCAAGTAACAGATCTGACTAATGATACATCAGAACCGTTACAGATACCAGCAACAGGTAATTTGATACGACGTTACTGTAGGCCTAGAAGCCAACTGACAAAGTATGACGTTTATAATTTGTTGGCCTTGAATACTAATAATAACCAATTCCTGCGAATCTGCATCCAAATTCTTCCAGATTGAGAATTCATCCCGTTGCTTTCTAAAGAACGGAATGAAACTGGTTTATGAATCAGTCTCACCGAGCCACCTGATAACATGACGTGGGTGTGTGTGTGTGTGTGTGTGTGCGTGGGGGGGGGGGTACATACAATTTAATAATGTGCAATGGATCCTGCATTCTATGGGGGGGGGGGGGCGAATGGTTTCGATTTAACCCTTACGCACAAGCGAATCATTGAAATAAAATTGAACCATGTGTTAGTCCCCATTTCTCCCCCCCCCCTCACTCTCTCTCTTGCATTCTGTGATTCAGGAAAATATTTCTTAGGGCACTGTGAAATTTTTTTTTAGTTCAGCCAATTTTCCCGTGGTTAGTATCGACTTGAGTTTTCTTCAATTGCTATTTAGACATACAGTGGACTCTTGTCACATCCGATCTCTGATCACTCCGGATTGCTGTGACATCCGGTATGATTTTCATGTCCCGATTTATTTCCTTATTACTTCAGCCAATAAATCGCTGGTAAATCCGAATTCTGTATGTTCCGGATTCCGAAATCAATCAGCCGTGCCGTCACATAATTTCCATTGAATCGACACCGTATAATCCGTACTTCAAACGGTGGGTGTGAAGCATCCAATTATTGGTGAGATTAAAACTCAATAGGTGTGAAGTCAGAAAAGATTAACAAGTAATCACTAATCAATTATCGGTGAGATTAAAACTGTGTTGATTACTTTGATCGGTAAAGCAGTGAACCCGAGTTGTTTTAAGGGAGTGGACAAGATCTACCTGCCAGTCAATTGGTCGGCCAATCGCAAAGCTTGGATGACTGAAGACGGGGACGATGAAGAATATACATTAACGACAGACTTGACCTATTCAAAATTCCTACGCACGCTCAACGACATTAAACACTTCGCACAGATTAAGGACGAAAAGATGATCGCAAGAATTCATTTGTTAGAAGATGTTGCCCAGGACTCCGCCTTACGATATGCTTCCGGTAATCTTAACTAAGCTAACTATTTTAAACGATTACATGCATTGATATTTATAAATATATTGTACGCATGCATTGATATTACATGTAAACGATTTATGAATATATTGGACGCATGCATTGTTATTGTTAATTATTTAATATAATAAAATTTTGAAAGTACAGAAAAGTTTATCATATTTAAAGGGAATAGCATTCTGGTGATTCGAAGCTACAATATAAAAATACTTCCGGTTTTCGAAGTTACAGTATTTCAGGTTTTGGAGAAAACTAGGTATTCCGAAACGCTGTGTGATCCGAATTATTGTAACGATCCCGTACAATGTCGGATGTGACAGAGTCCACTGTACATTAACTGTAAACTTTTAGTGCAATGTGATCTTAAGAGTTTGTTGCTTTTACGTGTTTTCTGTCTAAACATAGATATTGTTTTCTCAGCATTTTAAAGAAACCTTATTGTCACTTTGTTTATATAACTAAATTATTGTTTGTTTATGGTGAAACAGGGTTAAATCTACATCACAGAATACACCGACAGTCTAGATGTGTTTTTAAGTAGACATATCATGATCTATTATCCGGACAACGAAAAAAAATCTTTAAACTATAACCCGTCATAAAAACATGTTGTTTCTTACTAAATGACAATATGGAAATGAAATAGAGTTTAGTGTCCTACGTTTCTTCCCCAATTGGGCTAAATGATGACAAGCATACGCCATGCAGTATGCTATAATGTTAGTTTAAAACTACTAACTACCAATCTAAACAAACACGGTATTCCTTATTCTCTATTTCGACCAGTGGAATACACAATCAGAGCATTATGTGCGAGGCATATACCCATCATTTTTCAAAGTCATGCTCATAATAGAAAATAATTCTGATGAACCCAAAGCCATGCAATAGCAGAAGTCAGTTATGTTTACGTCCGCCATGTATAATTATTATACTTGTGTTCTTTATTCATGTTTTTTCTTCAGGACCACAAGAAATATTAACAGAAAAGACCAGACATCAACGATTTCGGTCTAAAAGAGCCACAAGAAAAACTAAATATGTCGAGGCTTTCGTTGCTGTGGATACCACTGTTACAGCTGTCGTAGGGAAGTCAAGGGTCAATCTTTACGTCATGACTTTGATGAATATTGTAAGTACCGAGGGTTAGTGTGGGTCTGAAGAGTCTGATTGGATCTTGACGTCTTGGTTACCTACATATAGATGTCAACTCAATCCCTTTTAACTTTATGGTTGTGTCTGTGAAACAGCGAATTTGACAGATGAGATGCATAAAACTCGAACCAGCGGTTTAAAATTAGACATCGTTGTGAAATCAATGTCCATCAATGCGTCAATATTGTAATTAGAGAAAAGATTAATAGGTGGTATACGTTTGAATCACAAAACATGTTCTACAAAGTGGCATGGTCATTTCGGCAGACTTATAACGGCAATTGCATGTTTTGACTTTAATAAACAGGTAGGGGATGGTCGAATGGTTAGCGCGTGCGAGCTGGATCATAGGGTCTGTCATTGAGTTAACTGTCGTGGTTTCGATTCCCGCGTTGTACGTGACAAGGAGTAGGGGTTTCTCCGGGTCGTCCGGTTTACCCCCACTGCTAAAAGACCCCTTCGCGCAAGCGAATTATTGAAATACAATTGAACTATATGTTAGTCCCAAAATGACCTAGTTTGTGTCGAGCACACGAGTTCTGAACAAATCTTATAGCAAAGTTGATGATTTCTGTATAGCAAAGTTGATGATACAAAATAAATTTACTTTCAGGTTAACGCTGCTTACCAACACGAATCACTAGGTATTGACATCCGAGTTGTTGTGGTTCGACTCCTGCTTCTGGATATAAATCAGGTAACTTTATCATTTAGCAATCGGCATATTTCTAAAGACATTTTTAAGAAAAGCCCGTTGTGACTACAGCACAATAAATAATACTCGAAAATCAAAGCCCTTCAAAATATTCCGTTTAATTGTCTGTATTACAGGTTTTGATTGGTGGGTCAAACAATCAGTCTGCGCATGGCCAAATACTAAAAGGAATTGTCTTTATCCAAAGATGAAGTAAACGACCTAAGTATAAAGCGGAACACTTTGATTGATATAATTTGGAATATTCTTAAATCTGTTGATATGGATTTAATTCGAATATTTATTTATTGTTAGATGACATCTCGCCATCATAAATGTCAATCTGTTGTTCTAGGAAAAACAAGTGATATCTAAAAACAATCCATTCGGAACAGTACAGAAGTTTTGTACCTGGGCGATGAGATATGCCAACCACTACGATCCACAGGGACACGACATCGCTATTCTATTAACTCGTGAAAATCTCGGACCGGCAGGTATAATCGTTAGCGTATTATTTTTCTTGAATATGTGAGGTTTAGCTAAACGAGATATTTTAAAAATTTTAAAAACAATTTGAACACCACACCCCTTTCCTTGATTTAACACAGTTTTCGGAGACTAGACTAAAAGCCCCCCCCCCCCCCCCCACACACACACACACACCAAAATGCAATTGCAGCGAAGGTGTTTCGCGGAAACCATGTATCACCCTTCTAAAGTCATAAGTAGCACAATCCCTGGTGCCTCACGTCAATGAATTTATATCAGGGTGTGGTATCTAGTTATATATATGATTTTTTTTATCAGGATATATTATCTATGTTTATATTTTATCAGGGTATGTTACCTATAGTCATATTTTATCAGTATCTATTATTTGTGTTTATCAGGATTATATGTTGCCCATATTTATATTTTATCAGGAGATATTTTAACTATGTTTATATTTTATCAGGATATGCACCGATTACTGGAATGTGTAATCCCGGAAGAAGTTGTGCCGCCATTAAAGACGAGGGATTTACTTCCGGATTTATAATTGCCCACGAGATGGCGCATGTGTAGGTAGTTATAATTCAAATTTTGCTATTTTCATCAATTCAAATGTATAATGGATATTTAATAGCCTCTGCTGAAGCGTCTGAAAACGACATTATCAAAACGAAACACATATTGAGTTTTTAAAAATGACATTACAACCATGCACTGAGGAATATTGAATTTGATAAATGTGAACGTTTCATGTGAAAAGGAAACCAATGAAGTTCGAAAGCAGCCACAGTACACGCAACCGCTTTTATAAATAACTAAACATTAGTTTAGGGATGACTGTTTTGATTTGTTCATGGAATAAGGCCAATGGTGGTTGATATTATATTTTAAGTTATACTGGGGTTTTTTAAAAGACATATCGCACACGTTTTTGTTTATACGATAATATAGTTTTCGTTCCTTGATACAGGTTTTTAAAAATAGTATTAATATCTATCAGCAGATGAGCAATATCCTATATTTCTGGATAATGTTTGTTTTATAGTATTAATATCTACCAATAAATGGACATCCTATATTTCTGGTCAATTTTTGTTTCATAACCAACACATGAACAATGTCATATATGGCTGTTTTCTAGGTTTGGTTTATTTCATGATGGACGAGGAAACCCATGTACAGGTTCAGAGTACTCAACCGCCATCATGGCTAGATTGGTTGAATCTAAATTGAACTATTACTGGTGGAGTATGTGCAGTAAAAAACGCATGTTAGAAGTTATAGAGTAAGATATTTAAGCAACCAAGTTTTAACTGATTAATAGGAAATTACCGTGCACCATTGCCGTTATATAATTTGAAAACCTGGCCCCTTAGGCCTCATTGTATTCTTTATACGCCCACATTTTCATGTGGACGTATATTGTCGTCGCCCCTGTCCGCCCGTCCACAATTTGTTTGTGGACACTCTACAGGTCACAATTTTTATTCGATTTTGATGAAACTTAAAATATGGAACTATCTCCCAAAGATCTCGGTTCCTTTCGATAATAGCATAAATCGGACCATAACTTCATGGATTATGGCCCCTGATTGTAAGAAAAATCACCTTTTTAGCTTGTGGGCACTCTAGAGATCACAATTTTTATCCGATGGAAAAAACGTTGGAATATATCATCGTTACATCCTAATAACGGCTGAGTTCGAATTTCGTGAAAATGGGACCAAAACTGCAGAACAAATGGCAGCCCTGTGTACGCATATAGTGTAAATATATGGTATATCAAGGTTGTGGAGCCTCTAGAAGTCACAATTTTGATGAAACCTGAAATATATCTTTATAACCCAAAGATCTTGGTCCATGTCGATATTCGCGCATATTGGATCGTAACTTTCTGAATTATGGCCCTTGGTGTACGAAAAATCACTTTTTGCTTAGCTTGTTCTCTATCCATCTCTGGGAAAATGTGGGCGCATCTGTCTGGCAGCCGCTGGTTTTATTCTAAACTGATGATATTTGTAATGACCACGAAAATAATAAGTCCACGGTGATGTACAGAGTCTGCCGTTGATATCGCAGAGGGAGGGGGGGTCCATGATGGCTCAGTGAGTAAGACGCTGACTCGCTAGTCTAGAGGTTGCGGGTTCGCTCCCGATGTTGGCCAAGAAAGTTCATCGTGATTCCCGGCGTGGTTTTCCCGTGTCGGTGGTATATGACGGAGCGCCTGGCAAGGATAGATGTCTAGTCAGTCTAATAGGACGAAAAACCTTTTGTAGTTTGAATTCGAAAGAAGGGTATGCCGTCTCGCCGCTGTTCGGGCAAAATTTCCCTCATAGCACACGTATTCCCGTCTTCATTAGCCCGGCCGGAGCAGAACAGTAGGACGTTAAACCCCATTTGATTTCATTTGATTTTCATTTCGATATCTTATAGAGCATGCAAGAATCATACGTTGCCAGTTAACGCCGTCGCTGGTCCATTCATTGTCTTGCAATTGTTCAATATAATTGACTCTACGTTAAAATTTGTAGATTGTTTAAAATACTTCACGTATACAAGTATGATTTTCGTGGTAGGATGGATCTCTTTCAAATCGATGCTTGTGGATCTAGGATTATGATTATATCTTTAAATGAAAAACAAACCATTTCACTTAGAGCCGACCATGTTGATGTATAATTGATCCACATAGACACACAGTATAATGTATTATTGTGCACTTAATTTCTCTTCAACAGTTATCTTTACTGCTTAAATGATGACCCATACCAACTATCTGGATTACCAGAAGTGCCTGAGCTAATAGGAACAGGCTGGAGTCTCGAACATCAATGTCGTCTAGAGTTTGGTGAAGAATTTAACATCTGCAATGCCGTAAGTTCTAAACATATACATGAAGAACATCCATTTTATGTCATCGAATAATCTATGTGTTGCGTCGCGTATACTAATTATATTTCTTCATCGGGATCGGCAAGAAATTAGAAAATTGTCTGTAAACCTTTTAACTGATTGAAATCTGGAGCTTGCTAGGCTTTTAAACTAAAACCGGGTTAGATTGCTCTTCGTCCTATCCTGTGTATTGGTAGAATTAAAGCGAGAATTTCATTTATTTCTATGTCTTTTGCTCAATAGGTTATCAACTCACTATTATACGATCATGGGCATTATTTCCCACCCTTAAAAATCATTGACACAGAAAATAATAACACAATTACCTCCCTTGTTTTCCTATTACCTTCATGGAATAGCTATGTTCAAATGTTTGAATTTGAAGCTGAAAATGATATTTTTGCCAATTTCTCAGCTGGCAATAGTGAATTATAGGATTGATAGGATTATTCTTTAACAAGGTGGGGATGTTTATAGATACCATCTATTTTAAGGCTTTATTTTAATAAATTTTAAAAATATAACTTAAAATATGAAATTGTAGCTTTAAGTTCTCCATATTTATTAAATTTAAAATATAGTTTAAACTTAAAGATAAATCAACATTTTCTATTATTTTCTTTTTAGTTTCACGCTGATCCTTGTGGTGTATTGTGGTGTAGTAAACGACGTTCACCAAGTTTATGTCGAACTAAACGTGGCCCGGCTTTGGAGGGAACTCATTGTGGACGAGATAAGGTAATGATATATAATACCATCGTCCCTATTGCTCCTTAAGTGTGTGTTGGGGAGGAGGCATTGTTGACGAGATACGGTAATAATATATAATACCGTCGATCCAAACCTCCTCTACGGAAAAATCATTGTATACGAAATAAGGTAATGATGTTACCCTCAACTAACGCTCATTACGGAGAACTCGTAGTGGACGAGATAAGGTAATGATATATGGTACGATCCAAACAATGGTTCGGAAACAAAATTTCTAAAATTATATAATTTTTCAAATGAATTAAATGTTCATCTTCCTTACAGACGTGTATTAAAGGCAAATGTGTTTATGTTGGTGATTTAAGTCCACTTGATGGTAATTGGGCAGATTGGTCACCATGGACGAAATGTACTTCCGACTGTGGCATGGGGTTACGATATAGAAAGAGAGAATGCAATAATCCAAGGTATGAAGCAGTAATAAAGACAGGCGATTTGAATGGTGGTGGCGCTAGAGAGACTCCCATATAACCCACGGCTAATCAGGCCTTTATAGGTCTACCATATGACATAATTTTGTTATTTCAAGCGATCTTTTACCCATAATCAAACCCACGAATCATGACCTACTGCGTTCGGAATAGGCTATACGACCACAAGCACCCGCCACATGTTTTTATTTCTAGAGTCAAAGAGACAATTATCTTGCAGCACTATTTTGCAGCACATATCACATGACCCAATAGAGCTAGCAATTGCATGTTAAACCCCCGATATCGTCATTAATGGTGAAACCGCATGGAAGGGCAAGGTCGTGCAATGTAAATTGTTTGATGGCCAATGTCAGTGGATTGTTGCCAGCAATTTAAGGCCAACTTTTATTTATATTTTAGCCCAGCCTATGGAGGAGATACCTGCGCGGGCGAAGCTGACATCACCGACGTTTGTAAATCAAACGTAAGTCTGCTATATTAATATCATGAGTGTGCTTACTCTTCCGTGGACACATGGTACCACTTCACTATTGTTTTTTTTCTTATTGTCAAATTACTTTGTTACTCACTCGATTTTGTCTTTGGATCATTGGATTCTTCCATTTTTTTGTGTATTAAGACTACAGGGTCGAGAGGGGGGGGGGCAACGGTTAGCGTGTGCGCGCCGCATCATAAGGCCTGTCATTGAAGACAATTTGTTATAAAATTTTACCAGTGCAATACTCTCTTGCCGCTGTGGGATATGCTATCAATCAGCCACATAACTTATTCTTTTTTTACAACATAACATACGTTTCCTAGCACCCGTTGATACAATCCTTTCGTGGAAAGTCAGTGTGTACGAGACTACTCGATTCATTCGCCTATCATTTGATGCTGACTTATCACTCGACCACGGAAACCTTGTTGGTGAAATGTCGGGCACTTGTATTTTTAGAACCAAACAATAGAAATAAACCTATATTTCATATTACAATTTATTTTTACACCTGGAGAGAATCGGGCAATGTTCTTGTTCATATGAATAACAATGGAATGACTAGTAAATATAAACACAATAAATTAAAAATTGAACAAAAAAACCCCAAAACATTTGAAATAATGTTCACGACATGGGTACTGTGACCCGGTGACTCAAGTGGGGTTGAAAAACTCCCAGTTAGTGAATTGTCGCCCGACATGACTAACAGCTTACCAACAGGTTACTAATAGCAACCAGACGTAGTCCCAATTAAGATCCCAATTCGTCAACCAAACTCGCTTCATGGATAAATATATCAGAATAAATTAGTTAAATTGATGGCTAGGACATGTAGTATTTTCCATATTGTCTAATCTCCTGAGATTTTGTGGGTTGAAAAATTGTTGCACGTGACATAAGAAACGGGAAGTAGGTGGCGAGACGGCAGTCGGTGTGTGGCCTTGACCGCCCGTCATTCTCTGTAGAATATGACCTGTTGTAACATGTACAGATTTGTAATAACTTTAATATGCATTTAAAGGGGCGTTTTCGTTAGGGTTAGACTGATTCTAAATGAGCGAGTCGATTATCTCTATGACTGAATTCACAATGCTGAAAATTTATTCCACATTAAATATTTTACCCCACCGAAACGAATACCGACTAAGACGTTGTCTGTTACATTTTGCGAGCTAAGCATATGAGTATTATCTAATAATACCAATGGTGACAGTTAAAATTAACATGATAGCCAAAAATATCATGGCATACAACAGAAACCTAACTACTTGATTTAGAGCAGTCTAGACTGATCAGTAGCACCATATTATTCAAAATTAACTACAAGTTGAAAACGATAGGGTATCTTTAAAATGAATGGTAAACGAATAACGTGTTAAAGATTGGTAAGAATATGCTGGTAATTATGTGTAGACTTGTAGACAATATATGACATATACTAGGTCTGTGTGTTATATACAGTCGTGATAAACACAATCTGAACATGTAAACAGTAGGACAACAATAAGTTTAAAATACCACACAGACTACATGAATGACAACTTCTATTTTTAAAATCTCAACCGGACGTGATAATCACCTCGGAAATATACACAAGCGTTTATTGCTGAGTAGACAAAAACAGTAAAAATAATAAAAACAATCAGCTCTAAACCAAAATAGTACTAAATTAACTACAGACATCGTTAACGACAAATTCATACACTGTTCTATGGGTCAACGCTCTTCAAGTACGATCGACATGAAACTTGGTTGTGCTGTTGACAAAAGTACATGGATTGACAAAATTCGATTTTTGAAATCACGTTACAATTAAAATGTCAAGATGGCTACGACGAAGACACGATGGGCTGCTGGTTAATATTATATAGTACACTCGATCCTGTTAATATCTCGACGGGATGGGATACTCACCTAATTTGGTTCTAAACCAAAATATTCTTAACACCTAGCTACACATAGAGTGTCATGCCCATATAGTGGCACGTTCATAACACTTAATCAAAATCTTATCCTAGTACATAGAGTTTCAGGAGGCATAATCACTTTCAACTAATATTCAGAACATTCACCTAATGATCGAAACCCCAAATCTAGTCTAATCCAATCAAAACATTTTGCTGATCTTCATTAAATCCATTAGAAAAATATGCAATAATATCTAAACGGCGCTCAATTTAGCAATAATATCTACATATGCATAATGATAATATGAAGATTTATATATCTCGAAACTCCACATAACAAATGAACATGCCCAGTTCACCAGCAGTTACTGTGTTCAGTGATAATTCAGCACAGACATGAAATATATAAAACGTTTAAATATAAAAAAGTTCGAGCGATCAGATTTAGAATTGATGCAACAGTGAATTTTGAAGATTTATTTAGATGCTGTTAATTAATGTCACAGTTACCTAGGAATATGAGCAAACACCAATCGTTTTTACCTTGAAATAGGGCAGTAGGAATGGAATGGAACTGGGTTTAATGTTTTTACAACTGAATAATTCAGTCATTAAATCCATTAGAAAAATATGCAATAATATCTAAACGGCGCTCAATTTAGCAATAATATCTAAATATGCATAATGATAATATGAAGATTTATATATCTCGAAACTCCACATAACAAATGAACATGCCCAGTTCACCAGCAGTTACTGTGTTCAGTGATAATTCAGCACAGACATGAAATATATAAAACGTTTAAATATAAAAAAGTTCGAGCGATCAGATTTAGAATTGATGCAACAGTGAATTTTGAAGATTTATTTAGATGCTGTTAATTAATGTCACAGTTACCTAGGAATATGAGCAAACACCAATCGTTTTTACCTTGAAATAGGGCAGTAGGAATGGAATGGAACTGGGTTTAATGTTTTTACAACTGAATAATTCAGTCATTTTGAGACAAACATAATGCCGAGTTTTAAGTGCGCAATGAGAGACACGAGAATTTTCCCCGGAGATCGACGTTTCCGTTTACGTCTTACTTTAGGTATACGTCAATGTGTACATGAATTAATCCAACGGTGAAAGTGTCCTTTAGGTGTACGTCAGTGTGTACATGAGATGACCCAACGGTCAACGTGTCCTTTAGGTATACGTCAATGTGTACATGAATTAATCCAACGGTGAAAGTGTCCTTTAGGTGTACGTCAGTGTGTACATGAGATGACCCAATGGCCAACGTGTCCTTTAGGTGTACGTGAATGTGTACATGAATTGATCCAACGGTAAAAGTGTCCTTTAGGTGTATGTCAATGTGTACATGGGTTGATCTTGGCTTGACTAGACACACTTGTCTTTTCATCCCTGGATTCAAGAAGGTTCTTGATAACCGTGGGCACTAGCCTTATTATTGTTTGATGATCATGAGTAAGAAGCAGCATTTTGTTTGTTGATATTTAAGCAGTCTAGTAATGACTAAACTGTTTCTTTGGGTAATCCACACAACTGTCAATTATTTTTGTAATGAGGTTTAATGTTCAATTATTTTTGTAATTTTGTATCGTGCAGGAATGTAAACAGTATAATGACGATAGAGCTTTACAGTGCTCTGTATGGAATGATATGCGCATAAGACCTGGTACGCATGAATGGAAACCGTACACGACCAACGAAAGTAAATATATATGTATCTATTTTTAAAACCAAGAAACACGATAAAACGATACATAAGTGAAATGAAATGGGGTTTAACGTCCTACTGTTCTGCTCCGAACTGGTCTAATGAAGACGGGATAAAACGATACTGGATGATTGGTTATGCCAATGGGTATATGCATAGGCGTAGGAGCTCAAAGTAATTCAGGGGGGCATAAGAGAAAATTGCCCGAAATCAATACCGTTTTTTTCGGGCATACATATCATAAGAGAGCTTCGGGCATATTTACGGGCATGCAGTGGACAAGAAAAAGACGAGAAAATACTTTTCGGGCAGTGTGGATCTCATAGAAATAAGTTAGTTATATTTTTTCTCTAAAGGTTAATAGAAAAAAAAGGTCGTCGAATTTTTCATTGCCCGAAAATAATTTTTTTTGGGGGGGGCCCCTGACCCCCCGGCTCCTACGCCTATGGGTATATGCCGATGATTCATTGTGACTTTGATGTCTTGTATATTGTTTCAATTTTAAATTCAGTATTTTCTCACCCGCAAAATATTAATTCATAGTGTGTTCATTGTTTCATTAATAATTTCTTCCCTGTGTTACTGACATTTGGAAGGTAAATTTCAGATTAATGGTGTTGTAGAGTCACTTGAATTTTACTTTATAGTTAATGATTTGTGTCATTTATTTTTAGAGAGTGACTATTGTAAAAGTACATGTATATCAGAACAAACTAGAGAGACACTGACTATAGATATCGATGTTGAAGATGGTACACCCTGCACGTATGGCCATTCTGATAATCTATGTATACATGGTAAATGTACGGTAAGTTGAAAGTTGAAACCAGCTATAGATATTAGATATATAGAGATAATGGTTTTCGAAATTACGCATCTTAAAAATAGGTGGAGGTCATTGGATTCATTCAATTATTCATTCAGTTGTACATTTTCTTTTTTATTCTGGTATTTGATGTAGGTTTCTATGTATTCGTTTTCTTATGATTTTTCAAATTTATGTATTTATTTTTCAGAGTTTATTTATTTATTTTTTCAATTTATTTACTTTATTTTTTAAATTTATTTGTTTATTTTTAGAAATTATTTACTTTATTTTTCAAATTTATTTATTCGTCTTTTAAATTTATATATTCATGTTTTTTAAATTTATTTATTCATCTTTTAAATTTATGTTTATTTTTATTTTTTAAAATTTATTTATCTATTTATTTAGATAGTGGGCTGTGATGGTATAATTAATTCTACTAAAGCAAGTGATCAATGTGGGGTATGCGGTGGTGATGGCAGTCAATGTAAAACAGTTTCTGGTAGTTATAATAATGTTCCTAAAGCAGGTGTGTATAATAAGGCATGGATAAATTAAAACAGGGCTGATCTCATAGAGAAACGTCCGAATATTCAACCATTAACAGTGATTTGAAAAACAAATCCCCAACATATTCTATAGATTTGAATGTGTATTCTTTTTTGTTGATTATTTTGTATAAATTAAAACTCAATATATTTGTATGCCAAGCATGTTCTGATATTCTGTACAGTTAAGAGAGTCGGTGTAAAGTTATAACAAATACACAAACAAAATAGAAAAAAGAAGGCAATTAATTTCTTGGGGAATATAGCACCCACTGTACTGAATAGAAAAAATATATTTAGTTGGATGGAACTGTCGCACACATGGGTCTTTAGACGTAGAAGAAAATCGAAGGCTAGCCCGACGACATTAACTCCTTGTAAAGTAGAAGCGTGTGATCGAAATCACGACTTGCATATATAACAAGACATGGAATCTCAAATCAATCTCAAGCTTTGTGGCCGAATAAAAGTTCGTATACTATTTACAGGAGATGCTTATGAACAGGTGATATATGTACCTAGAGGTGCCACCTATATAGAAGTTACAAAAACCTCCCGATCACCTCATTTCATTAGTAAGTATTATCTCTTCTGACTGTAAGGTCTGTAAATATATTGCCAAAATTAAAAATAAAGATAAAATTGTGACCTAACAGTATCAATACCTAACCTTTTACGAACCAAATATTGCGAAGGCTGGTCGGCACAGCTTCCCAAACCTTAGAATTCTGTGAAAACTATACGCAGTTAAAATAATAAGTTAATTTAAACTCGGACTCGTTCAGCAATGTTCATTAGTGTAACTTGCACCTTCATTGAAACGTGGGTGTGTAATCTTGACACTACCAAGTATGGTTTGGTTATTAATTGTTACACTAAAGCCAATAAACAATTCCATCAGAAACGCAGTTACCCACAGTAAACAACTGTATTGTGATACATAAAGGATGTACAATTTACATCCATTTTTAACAGTGCACCGTAAATCTTGTTTTTCCCGTTGTCAGTTTTGCAGGTCGTGCACGGTGGATGGCTTAGCATGGACAGTGTCTAGTCATTCGGATTGTACGAAAAATAGAGGTCCCGTGTACACATTCATGCGCACGTAAAAAAAGAAACCTTGACAGTTGGAATTCGAAATAAGAGTAGACCGGTGTCCGGGCAAAATATACTCCATAGCACGCTGTATGGCGTAAGCCAAATCGGTGCAGAAAAGTAGGACGTTAAACCCAATTTCATATCATTTCGTAAATCAAGTTTGCATAAATAGTCATCTAGGGACTAAGGGACCATTTCCAGTAAATCCTAGCTGAGTGGTACTTTTGCTAGAAGCTATATTTGTATTGTGTTTTTAATACAGGCTTAAAAGATCCAAAGTATGGTGTGTATTACCTAAATGGTGATAAAAGACAGATGGGGTCTCGATCGTTTATTGCTAACGGTGCCGTGTTTGATTATAAAAAGGGATCAAGTTATGAGAGTTTAGTTACAGAAGGGCCAGTGAGAAGTGATCTTGAAGTTATGGTGAGTTTGCTTATATTAGATATACAATAAAACATTAAACATGCGGGATTATCTGGGAGCATATTGTATGTGGTAATCGCCGCCCGGGGCTGCCGGATAGTCCGGAGATTAAGCAATATTTTCGTGGCAAAATACTGATGTCTTGTATGTTTTTACTGTCCACTACACATGTATGATAGCCTAATCATCGTCGCCGAGCGGTCTACGGTTTCGATTCCACTCTACCTGACAACGTATGTCTTTACTCGTGGGTATTCCCAATGGTCATCCGTTTTCTAACACTATGGATTGGAAACAAAATAATAGACTTCAGATGTAAGCATATCTCTCATGCATAAATTAATCATTCAAAAGAACGCGATCGTGAACTTTTAATTTTGTTATTACCGGTTGTATTTTAGCTATTTCCTAACAATTATCTACAACCAGCATCTGTAACTTATCAGTTTACCATGGATAAAAATGACCACACCTTGGAGAAGAAGAACTATAAATGGAAGTTTTCTAAATGGTCGGAATGTTCTGTTACGTGCGGCACAGGTCAGTTATAGATTTAAATACAATCTAATCTTGGACATACTGGAAACATCTTGTTTGTCCAAGAGATATAACCTTACGATCATTTTAAATTAAAGAGTGTGTTTGTGACGTCACTAGCGGAATCAGCACTTACATTTAAAAGGTGTAGAAACCCCACTACTAAGAGTTATCTGCGATATCACCGCCGGTGGAAGCGAACGTTAACCCTAATGAACGAAAGCTCGGCTAAGAGTTAATAAACAAATTTAATCGGTTTACTGAAGCATGGTCATTTTCGTCGGGGACGACATTGAAACATCTGGTGATATTGATGACGTGAATAAGACACTGGAAAGAAACCCCGAATGGTTACCGACATTATCTATCTTAGACCATTGAAATAAATGGACCAATTTAATAAACAGTCCCAGCTCCAGTTCGAGCAATTCATGATACGAATATTATAGCATCGGGATGTCGAAGCAAAAATGGTGCTGTTTTAATACATTTTACTTCCTACCAAATAACTAAAAAGGAATTGAATTTAACGCTTCGAGCTATTACGCCAACTGGGCTAATGGAAACGGCCATGTGCTAATGTCTACTCTTTTCTGACTTCCAACATTCAGGGGACCCTGAACTTGCTGCAAATGGTATGCAGAAGACCTCGGTTATTCGTCTTGTCTAAGCAACTAGGCGCGTTTCTCAGTCAGAACAGGCTGGAATCTTGGTCGGTGAGCCCAAAATTCGTGGCTTCCCAAACAGTCACTTACCCATTCTTTGTATATTGTAGGAACTCAGCAGATTATCTACGCATGTCATGATAAAAAAACGGAAGTTCGGATTAATGATGAGATGTGTAGTTATTTAGATACACCAAGAGCTGATGTAGCTATGTGTTATAGACCTGATTGTTCTACAGTGGAGTAAGTTATAGTCTGTGGAACACGGACATCTTTGTAATAGCCAGCAATCTCACGATAAACAGTAAATGCATGTATCACATTATCGTCTCCAGAAAAAATTTAAATCCTTCAAATTTATGGTTCTGTTTATCTTTCTCCAATCTTGATCTTTATCTTTAAAGCCTGTTGATCATCACTTGGGCAATGTTGAATGATTCGAGTACACTGAAAGGAATATCAGGTCAAAATAGTTTAAAGTAACAATGCGCCATTAGTACTTTTCGCTCAAATATCCACAGTAATATTTTCTCAGATTGATTATTTAACATTTAATTAAGAATACCAAATCAAAATACCAACGCTAGATGACGTCGCGGCCTTGATTCAATGAGATTTTAAACATGTCTGTAAATTATTTTCGCCCACAACAAAATACTACAAGTGAGCAGCATATCTCTGTAAATACTGTATGGAAATTAACAATTTTTGGACCGATATTCTAATTAGAAATTCAACTTTCACAATATGATAAACACACGAATTTAAGTTTAGAGATCATTTTTAAATTTCTAAAATGCAGATAAAAAACTGATAATTGTTGTTTTACAGTTTTAACTGGGTTATGTTGGATGACTGGTCTGAATGTTCAGCTTCTTGTGGTGAAAATGGGTTGCAGAAAGAATCATACGCCTGTGAACAACACCTTGAAGATGATACATATGAAATGGTTGATTTGGAACTGTGCTCTGGTATAGAAGCCCCGAATGAAACGCGACCCTGTAATGTAATTCAGTGTACATTAGATTGGACAATCGAGGAATGGCAAGAGGTGAGAAATTGTCTGTTAATACAATTTGAATACGGCTTGTGGTATATACAATGAAGGGGTTAGAATCTATCCACCACAAACTGTATCTGTATTGCACGTGCAGTCGTTGGTATTACGAATAGTGTTTATACATAAACACGTCCGATATAGACCAGACATCGAGCATGACGTCATCACCGCTATCTTGTGATTGTGACATAATATACAAATCGAGGTCCGTCAATCGATGCGGAATTGTCTAAGGAACAAGCTTCATGTCGATCGTGCTTCAATTGGCGGAAACTTAGGCTTATTTCGATGAAAAAAATGGGTAGCGCTTAGGGACAAATTCCATTTCCAGATTCTGAAATCTAGGTTATTTTTTATAAGGTTTGTCATAATATTATGTAAAATTCATGAGATTGTAATGATTATTGTAGTGTACAGTAACATGTGGTGATGGGTTTGAACGGCGACAAGTGTATTGTGGTATTAAAGATGATGCCAGTGACGATTCTTTATGTATAGATGAAAAACCAGTTTCAACAAGACAGTGCAATCTAACAGAATGCAGTTTAGAATGGATAGTAGGAGATTGGCAACAGGTAGGCATTAAGTTTGGGTAATTTATACTTTTAAAAGTATAATAATTGGTATATGAAAAGCCAATTGTCGTAAGTACCAGAACAGGTAGCATTTTAATTTCTGTATTCAAACACCATCAGCACACCAATAAGGTCCATCAAATGTCAGCGTAAATGTTACTAAAATAGAGCATTATGGCAGGCCAGCTCTATGATAATTTTATTCTGTATTTCAGTGTTCTAAAACATGCAGTACTGGAATTCAGAAGAGGGATGTATATTGCGGTGATAGGGTCGATGAAAATGATGATTATTTATGTCCCGAAGATAAACCAACTTCAGCCAAATTCTGTAATATGGGAAGCTGCCAAGGTAAATCTAGATGATATATACACGTTGGATAAATAGGTGTCAAAATTGAAGTAAAATACAAGAAATCATTCTTCCTCCCTGCTATCTTTACGGTTATGTAAATATCCAATTGAAGTCCACGGAAACTCAACTATAGTAGTATTAGTTACCGATAATATTTAATACGCTATGGCGATGTACTTTTATAAGTTATGGTTTAAACGACCGTTCTTATCGTTATTGAGTACTCTACACACCGTCGATAAATAGTGATCACGTCTGGGGCTATGTGTCACATCCAAAATCTGCCAACTCAGTGGACAAGCCCGTCTGTCCAAACATATTTATTACCAAGTAACCGGGGTCTGGGTGATGTTATTCCTTCTAGAAAACCTGATACCACTTCTTTTTTTATTTGTGATGTTCAAAAAGCCAACAGTTGTGTTATATTTTGGTATTTTGTATTTCAGTGCATCGCGAATCGTTATGCCTTAGAGATAAATATAGTTTTTGTAGAACAGCTAATGCTAAAAAATGTGTGTTTGGCGGATTTAAGAGGATTTGTTGCAAGTCGTGTCGGACATTAGCTGGTGCCGCCTACAGGAGAATCGCTGCCCTGCGAAGATTTGCTAAAGCAAGAAGATTCAGACGTAGACGCATGGGTTAAGGGGAAATAGCTCTTAAACACTTTCTTATTTTTGTGTTGGACTTTTTGGGGGTTATATATTAAGGAAGTTGAAGTTGATCAAACTCCTCATAATGATATATTTGGTTTATCCCGCTCTACATTGTTGTAGCAAGCCGTCGTTCGTGAGTCTAGTTAGGTCATATTTTAAGAGGTCTTACATGTAGTCGCATTTCATTTTATTATAAATATCACACACAGTGATGTAGTTCTAGTTGGCTTGTTAGTCTGTTGGTCACATTTTTTGTTCAAACATATATTATTTACAGAACTATATGCATTTAATCCCGATTTCATGAGCGGTATTTGTTTGAATATTTCATTTATAATTTGTGACTCTTGTAGTCGTTTCGCTGAAATGGTATGCTAAGAATCACTATGGAGATGTAATGTCAGAAGGCTTACATCAACAGTTGAAGGATTGGGTTTATGTTGTTCCGTAACTTATGGTCGACTATATTGTAATATCGTACCTCTCTGTTATAATGAGACCCCCGTACTAGAATTAGTGGTAATGTATTAGTCAAAAAATGAAATGGGGTTTAACGTCCTACTGTTTAGCCCCGACTAGGCTAATGAAGATGGTGGCGGACTGAACAATACAAAAATAAATCTATTTTAAACAAAAAAATAACAAAAAAAATCGAGCGCCCCCCGCCCCCATTTGTAATACTACGCATTGTTAGGATTATCATAGATTTAGTAACCTACAGTACACATAACCCCTCATCATAATATGTATTTTAGCGGGAATTTCATAATGCGTGTTTCTTAATTCAATATTTTTCTGGTTCAAGTAGTAAAAATTTCTTTATTCGAATTTTATACTTAGATTTAACACCATGTCTTATTAGGATTTAATGCTAATCCTTATTAAGATTTAATACCAATCCTTAATAGGATTTAATGCCAATCATTATTATGATTTAATACCAATCCTTATTAGGATTTACTACTAATCCTGATTAGAATAATCCTGGTTAGGATTTAATACTAATCCTTATTTGGATTTTAGAATAATCCTGATTAGGATTTAATGCTAATCCTTTTTAGGATTTTCATAGTTATAGTAGCCTATACATAACATTTTAGTTAACAATTACATGTCTATTAGTAATGCGCTTTTCTTAATTCAACATAATATAGTATACTCTATTGTTCATGTAAATATTATCACATGCATTTACTTCTTATTTGTGATTTGTTGAAATAAAATGTGATAAAGGACTAACATTGTTTAATCTTTTTAAATCTTAGAAGTAACCCCCTTTCATCTGTCGAGACACTTCCCTGTATCAGAATACATAGCAATTGGACATTCTCATTTTATAATGCATACCCATGATGAATTCCAAACGGCAGGTTCTGCTTAAAGGGGCATTATGGAAGATTAGATAAAGACGTGGCAATTCTCACAATAATAGTTAAAAACTAGATATGCTGCAAATATCAGTCAAATTGGTCCACACTGAACCGAGATATTAGCGATTGAATTTTAGGACTAGCCTCGATCATCATTTCTAAAGTCGGTACTATAAAAAACACATTTAATCATCAATGAGCTTTGAGTAGCAGATCGGATTCAAATCCAGTGAAGATCCGACATATAAGATGGCATCGAGAGTTGTTTAAGGTCTTTTCATGTTAATAAATATCTAATTATTTCAGGCCTAAAGAAAGACGTGCAATAGGCAAGGCATTGAGTAGTCTAAGATACGCACGCCATCCGCTGTGTCCAACGGCAATTTCACACTGGATCATAGACGTCTATAGATATGACGTCAGAAGGAATTATCCAGGTCTACCATCTATCGCGACTGGAACGTGACTGAATTTAATTTTTTGATAGTCGAAAACTACCATTTTAGAATGTGTAAAATGATGCAGTATTTTTGGACTTGCAATTAGCATTGTTCATGGAAAATGTGATGAAAATCCATACAGGTACAACTGAGAAAATTTGACTTTTGTTGTCATCAGCACCATTTATTATCATGCTTTTGAGCCAAGTTTGGAACATAGTTGGTAAATAAAATTGGTATTTGTTTGGTGATTAATATGTAGTTTACCACCCAAAATAACAAAAAATGTCATATCAACAAACACTATAGCTTTAAAATGTACATTTTAGACTGATCAACGCCCTTAACTCGTGAAACAAACTTTTAAGTTGTGTTTCTGCTCTGAGTTTCTTTCACCCAGTATAATCTGGGACCGGGTCTTTCTCGTGTACATTCTAACCTGTGAAATCATTTAAATAGTTTTGGAAATTGTACCATTAAGTAAACCCTATATCATATTTGATTATGGAACAGGAAACACTTCTAGTATACTAGGTTCATTATCAAATTATTATGTACAGTATATGTGGAAACATCGCTCTAATCTAAAAATCGGACTTAATGTCTCAAGTTTTGTCTGAGAATTTAAAATTTCACAGAATATCAGATTCACACGAAGGGTAGGATGGGACAAGGCGCCCATTCGAGGTAAAAGGCCCATGCCCTTTTAAGGAATATTAAATGACATGTGACAAGCGCGAACAACGTCATAATTACGAGGAAGAGCCTAGTACATTACAGACGGAAGTTGTGTCAACACCATTTTCACTAATTTTCTTATAAAATATGACTTATAGAGTTTAATGTGCGTGAACGCCTAAAGTCGGCGTAGAAACATTCTGTTAATATTAGCGCCAACAGACCGGGTCGTGTCATCTGTAAAGGGAGCTAATAGTGATCTAGTAACCTTGCTAAATATATGAAAGGTCGGACCACAAAAGTTTGTATGGGGGGGGGGGGGCAAAACGCCCACCCTGGGCGTTTTACCCCAATACCTGTAGTATAATATAAATATTGATATAAATAACAACATAAAGTAGACCAAGCACCTTATGCATTTTTAAGAAGTAACCTATTTTATTTATATTTTTTCATTGCAGGATGGTTAGACATTATAATAAAAAAAACTACTAGAGGTCAATATGGTAACGAAAGATTACAGTCAGCACTGGATTGTGTCAGAAACGGAATGCCATTGATTAAAGCCAGTCGACAATTTGAAATTGCTCGTAGAACCCTAAGACGGCACCGAGACAAAAAAGTAAAGGTTCTCGGAACTTTGCATTTGGGAAAGCACACCCCTATCTTGCCCGAGAATGTGGAGACGCAGCTACATGATCACATATAGTTTATGGAAAAATCATTATATGGTCTTACAACAACTGATGTTAGAAAATTAGCTTATGAGATCGCTGAACAATCAGGAAAGACTGGCTTTCCGGATTTTTAAAGAGAAATTCAGATTTGAGTGTCCGGCATCCACAGGCAACTAGCCTATCGAGAGCAATTGGCTTTAATAACCCTAAATTAGACCAGTTTTTTTACATTATACCATGATGTGTTAAATCAGCATAAATTGCTACAAAAGGTGTTCGACAAGTAAGCAAAATGACAAGTGGTGAGAGAGGTTCTACTGTTACTGTTACATGCGCAAAGAGTGCGGCTAGTGTACATATTCCCCCTATGTTCATCTTTCCAAGAAAGAGGATGGTGTAGCATCTGATGACAGGTGCACCCCACAGTCTGTCGGATATGCAAGCCCATCTGGTTGGACTGATGGTGAATTGATTTTAAAATGGATGGAACATTTTACAACTTTTACCAAAACCACTCTGACTGCAAATGACTTGGCGCGTGAAAATGGAATTCATTTGCTGACCTTACCACCACACAGCACACATAAGATGCAACCACTAGACAGAACCTTTTTTGAATCTCTAAAAGTGTCTTACAACAGGGAAGCTGACTATTGGGTGATTTCTAATCCAGGAAAAAGAATTTCCTTTGCTGAAATGGCTGGTATATTTGGTAAGGCCTTCCTGCGATCTGCAACTGCTGAAAAGGCCGTTCATGGTTTTGCAACATGTGGATTATGGCCGTTTTACGCTAGTATTTTTTCTGATGATGATTTCTCTGCATCATTAGTAACAGATGAAACCGAAGTCCTAAACCAAGACACCGATACAAACAATGCAACTGTTATTGTATCAAACATCATTGAAACCATCGAAGCTAGTTCGTCTTCCCATGATGTTCCGCCCACTTCACAAATAAATGAAGATACACTGATCCCACCAACAGTTCATTCAGGCACTACTTCAACTTCAAAACCTCATGGAATTTCGACATTTGATTTAATTCGGTCGATTTCACCTCCGAAAATAGCCGAGAAAAGAAAAAGAACACGTGTATCAGAATCTGCTGCCCTGTTAACTTCTTCGCCATACAAAAAGAGTTTAATGGATAAATTGGGAAATTTTAAAGGTTCGTCTAAAGCGGTCGGAAAGGGTAAGGAACAGGTTAGAAGGCCAATTAAAGTTAAAAGGAAGTAAATCTAAGAAGAACAAAGTAGACGATAATAGTGATGAAGACGAAGACGATGAGTGGCCATGTTTAATTTGTTCAGAACCATTTAGTAATAGTAAATCACGAGAAACCTGGTTACAATGTAGTATTTGTAAAAAGTGGGCACATCAAGATTGCACGTCCGGATCACCTTACTTTATATGCCCCAACTGCGACTCTGATGAAATGAAATGAAATGTTGTTTAATGGCACGTCAGCTCCAACCGGGCTATATTGCGCCAAACATATGGTGAATCTAACGAGACAAATTAAAACAATATCACATAATTGAATTTATATATGTAAATAAAAACAAATATCACAGAAAATATATAATTAAAAATAAATATTACAAATCTTTTACATATATAAATATTTAAAACAATATACATGATTAAATATATACAATTAAAATTGAGAATAAAAGTTTGTCTCTTTTAAAAATGTTAGCACTTTATCATATAGCTCCGGTTGAGCAAATAGCTGACGTAATGACTGGCAACGGTAGTATTTAGATCTAATATACTTGAGATGTTTGCACTCAATCAAGATGTGGCTCACTGTCAAAGGAACATGACAGTGAACACATTCCGGTTGAGGCTCTCGCTTCAAAATGAAAATATGAGATAAAAAAGTATGACCAATGCGAGAGCGACACAAAACAACTTCATCTCTCCTGTTAGACCTGTAGGAGCTTGGCCATTCTCCAAGGAGAGGCTTTATGTGATGAAGTTTGTTTGCGCCTGCAAGATCCCAAGACCGTTGCGACTCTGATGAATCAGACTAATTGTTTATAAAACGTTATGACAAATAAAACACTCAAACACTGTGTGACAAAGTGATTTATATTTCTCACCAAATTGAACAGTATAATTTAGGTACATAGAACTTAATGAACTCTGCTAGTTTTAACAATATATAAATTTTGACTTTCACCTCTATATAAACTTCTGTTAAGCACGAACTTATTAAACATCTAATTGATTCAGTATGATCTTTACAAACTACGTGTGGTCTTTGCGCACGCTCCGCTTTACTTCAAAGGAATATGCATTGGTCAGTAGGCATGCCGTGACGAGATAAAATAGACAATTGCATGTATGACCATGTGTGCAAGGGTATATATTCAGGAGTTCACTGACAGTTAGCAGAGAGGAGCCGGGCGGAGAAGAAAGGCTTGGACGAGTGTATGGACTCACCTGAGTTCAGCCGCTGCCTTGGCAGACGGGCGGAATGGTAGATTCAATATGGTTAGATGTATTCCTGTCGTAGAACAAGTTCCAGTATAGTCTAGTTTTTGCAGTGTTGATGTATTTATGTAGACGTTTGATATTCTGTTCCCGTTGTAAATAAACCATATATTTACGAAACTAACCTCTGTTTTCACTAAGAAAGTGTTACAACTGTTTTTATCTCTTTTTATTGATTTATTTAGTTAAGATTATAAAAGTTCAATGGAAAGAGGTAAAACGCCCATCTATGGGCTTGCAGCCCCAGGGCCGGGGCAAAAGACCCACTTCCAAAAAATATTTTGAATGTAAAATTTAGAATAGTTTACAAGTCTGTACACGTATGGGATCCGTAAAATGATGTGCAATATGGCTTCCTTGTTAACTATGTTAATTTTCACGTTTGTGCTATTGTTAGGGGTTTCGCTATATCATTTTCCGCTTAAGGGGGGCGCCTTGCCCCACCCTACACCAAATGCTTTTAAAATGCTAGAAATAGGGAATAGTGAGATGATTCTAGTGAATTTATACACATTAAAATTGTACTGAACATTTGGGTTCATAAATGCCCTATCCGA